TATGATTTTTTTGTTCTTTGATGCCTGATACCTAGTCCCTTCTTCACCTTGTGGTCACACAGGCTGGTGTGATTCTTCCATGTGAGCTTTGTTGCTTCTGAGTTAGATGGCTGCTTATTTACCTGCAAGCCTTTAATACCCCAGACAATGTGTCTTTTAATAGCCGGACACCATCAGCTCTTTCACCACATTTGCTTATGCACACATTTGTTTTCAGCGATCATGTAGGGAAACCGAGCTTCACGGAATGCCCAGCTATAAGAACAATGTGTTCTTGTGTTGATGGTGTACTTGAGTAGAGGCCTGATGTCCTTCTGCTGCCTTAATACTTAACATAAAACATATCAATACATAGATCTATTCCCCTATTCTTACATATAAATATATTTACATGCCTGTATTGAGACCTCTATAAATGTCCTTTGCATACTAGTTCTTTCCTCTATTTCCTTTACCTGCCCTCTTGTCCCACTATTATGTTTGGCCTTCATCCGGTTTCATGACAAGTGTTTTTATATATGGAGGCAGAAGCGTCTGAGTTGGAGGGGAGATGTGACCACCAGCTTGAGGTGATGTGCTTTGAAGAAGGAGCGAGGTTATCACAGGCCAAGAAATGCAGAAAACCTCTTGAAGCAGCAGAAGACACGGCACTAGATTCTACTCTCAAAGAAAAAATAAAACAAAAGCAAACACCAAAGTGAAACTCATTGCTCTTGATTTGATTACAACTCAGGGCAATTCTCCAGGACAGAGAAGGGTTGCGCCTGTGGGTTTCTAAACTGTAGATTTTTTTGGTAACATCATTTTGTTGAGGGCTCTTATAGCTCTTATAACAATCTATACATCAATTGCATTGAGCACATTTGTACATATGCTGTCATCATCATTTTCCGAACATTTTCTTTCTACTTGAGCCTTTGGTATCAGCTCCTCTCCCCTTACCCACCTTCTACCATTGATAACCCTTGATAAATTATGAATTATTATTATTTTCATATCTTACACAGTCTACTCTGTTCCTTCACACAAGTTTTTATTGTTGGTCCCCTCTGGAGGGGTGTGGGATTGTATGTTAGACATTGATCATGGCAATCGGTACCCTATTCTCTCCTTTCTCCCACCTCCCCTCACCTTCCCCTTACTCTCCTGGTAACGTTGCTCTCATGATTGGTCCTGAAGGATTTGTCTG